CGGCCGTCATAATGTTCGTACCAGTTTTAAAAAATTAGAATCCGTACTATGCAATTCCAGTTTTGGATCTATCACTGTAGGAACTGTAACTGGAATAGGAACTGAGACTCGGGTACTCAAGTTAAAATCAGGACTGAACTATAATTTTTGTAAATTTTTTTAGGTGTATTTATCATTTTTATAAATAGTAGGGTAATCATAATTTTTTCGAGTACCCAGAATCAGTATCTACGTTTCAGGTTTCGATTCTAGGCTTTTAGGAACTGAAACTAGCTGATTCGATTCCAAATCTTAGGAATCGGCTGGTTTCGGTTCCATGGGGTCCCGCCACCCCTACTTGCCACACATGTTCCCCAACCCAACTAATGCAACCCATATGTTGGCTTTCAAAAATTCTATGTTTTTTTACACAAAATCATTTATTATATTATCTTCTTTATTCGATATTATTTTATCCCTGTGCTTCATAACGTTACTCTCAAGTAGAACGGATAATTTTTTTTTCCTAAAATTCAAAAAAAAAAAAAAAAATCTGAAATAGAGAAACTTTCTAGGAAAAAAAATTAATGGAAGACTTTGTTACATACTACAAAGTGCAGTACAATTGGTTTGAAAGCTTCACTGTTAAAATTTCACTCCTTTTTCAAATGGAGTGCTATCTTATCTCAAAAATACAATTTCCGAATAAATAATGTAATTCTGGGCTTAGGAGATATTCTCGTACAAAATTGAAAATTTGGGACTACTACTTGTTTCTGGGCTGCTGACCACCTTCAGCAGCCAGCTTAATTCGCTGGTGATGCTCTGCAACTTTGTAATCGACAACCTCTCTAAACAGCTGGGAATCCAATACGCAGTCTGGGCGGGCATAAACAGCTGCTTGAACACTAGCTATGAGTTTTGCTATTTCACGCCCAGAGAACCCTTCGATCTTCTTGGCAGCCTCTCGAATGACATCTTCAGACAAATCTTTTATGGTTATCTTCTGTGGTCTCTTCTTGAGCAAAAAGCCCCACTTGGATGCACTGTCATCTTCATCAGAAAGGTACTTGTTCAAATAGAGTTTCAGCAGTTTGAAACGCTCCTCCTCTCTAGGAAGGGGAAACTCAATCACTTCATCAATGCGGTCAGTAATAGCACTATCAAGATCTCCCGGCCTGTTAGTGGCAAGGACAAGAACTATATCTCTGGACTGATCACCAGTTCGGAAAAGCAATGCGTTTAAAGCACTTCGCTGTGCTTCACTCATATGTATGCTATTACGCCTGCATTAGATCAATTGTGGATTACAATCTTGCTGCCAGGAAATAAATTATAACTAAAGAAAATGTCTAACCTAAACATGATAATAACTTTCAGAAATATTGGAGCTGCTATAATTTGGGCTCGAATTAAAAAAGTGGAATTCAACACAGATTAAGAATCAGACTTAAGAGCCAGAACAAATCATCTTAGACAGTTACAGAAAAATACAGTAATTTAAAGCCTTTAATATCGTATAATAGACTTTTGCTAAAACATAATTAACAGAACTGCCAAGCTATTTCAATCATTTTTCACTGCCGAACTTGATGTAATCTGTGAGGGAGACGGTAACTTACTCGCATAAAAACGCATCAGCCTCATCAATAAAAAGCAGCAAGCCTTTTTTTGACTTCTTTGCCCAATCAAATATCTCGTGGATCTTGGTAACAGCCTGTGCACCAAGAGGTGCAACATCTCCTCCTGTCATCATGGCATAATCCAATCCCTGTGGTAAAAGACACAAGGATCAAGGCTAACTTCAATGAATAAATATGATTTTTTGCAATCTCTAAATCCATTCATTTGACCAAAGCAAAGAGCTATAATTATAAATACCATAAAAATACAGAACAAGCTTAAAGTAAGACTTTTGACAAAAGTTGCTAGCTAATTCAACCACTTATTAAGACAAAATGTGCAAGTCATTGTGTTGAATATCTTAGTTCATTTCTAAAAAATTTTGAAATTTTGAAATTTTAAAATTTTGAAATACTGTAATATTGTTTCTATTTTTTATAATTATTTTAATGATTTCCAATATCATATGAAATAAAAGCAAGAGGTCTAGAGATTTGTCCTCCCTCATACCAACCTTGGGAGGAGCAATAATTTAATTTGACAGAAAAAAAATTATAACTAGCATCCTCAGATGCATTAACAATAATATCTATGCCTCCTAACTGTTAACATAGGTACATATGGTCCTTCATGCTTCTTTGTATCGTGTAAAGTAAGTCCAATCTAAAGAAACACACAAGGGCCAGTGATAGGATAGACTATATATTGAAGTGAATTTGACACAAATAAGTCGGCATAAATTACAAAAATAAATAAAAAAAATTGAACCATTAGAGCTACCATACCGATTTTCGAGCGATCTCCCTAGCAACCATAGTTTTACCAGTACCAGGGGGTCCATAAAACATCATGTTGCGAAAGGGTGCCTGGTGGATCTTGGTGTTTGACGTAGCCTTAGCAAGATGCTCTATCCTCCTTTGCAGGGAAGGATGGAGAATAATATCTCCATTATGTTTTTTTACTTCAGTAGACCCCGCTGCTCCAGATGCTGTCCTATTACTAAAAGTTTTTTTCCTTGCTTGAGACAAAAGTCCTGACCATGGAAATTTAGCAATTGATGATTCTCGAATTAGTGAGGGCTGTCCCAAGATCCGGTTAATATAGCCCCATGTAACCCTAGAACCTTCTCTGTAAACAGATAAAACAGAACAATAAAAAAGAGATCAGATGATGACTCAAACTACCATGAATCATCATTAAACAGGTTTTAAATGAATCTGTGAATCTAAGAGCTAATCTAAATTGAGCTATGTCATTAAATGGAATTAACTTTCCAAATAAAAGTTGAAACCATTCCTACTGAAAATTGAATAGATGGCAGTAAGGAAAGAAGCCAACTTACCTGGTTGTATAAATTCCTGCAGCCAATGCAGTGGCTCCTCCAACTGTCATAACCAACTTATTCCTATCTGTCAATAAAGTCCTAAAACCCTCTGCAAAATTATTAAAACAAAAAAGGTTAAGCCAGATGCAAATTTTTATAAGAAGCTGACAAACTAAAAGATGCAGAACATAATATGCCATAGCAAGAACACAACAGTTTTTGAGGTCAAGTAATATATTATGCTCCAGTAACCTCATGTATCATATCAAGAATAACAATTTATGTAATTTATGGATCAAATGATGTAAAGCAATAAGTATTGCAAATGTTCATCAGCCTCTTCAAATAACTGAGGAAACAGATGTCAGGCAAAAATGAAGCAAGGTCATCTAATATTTTAGAAAAATGCTATCCTTACAAAGACCCATACAAAGAGGGCTACAAAGTGACATCAGCAAGAAGAAAAAAACAAAGAAAAAACGGAAAAAGAGAGAGAGAGAGAGAGAGAGATCATGAAAATCAAGGGTGGGGATTGTCTTTGTTTGCCCCCTTTGTATGTATCTTTGTAAAACTAGTATTGCTCAATATTTTAGAGGAAAACAACAAAATTTGGAAAAAGATATTTCATTGCACCAAGTATCTACATGTAGACAAAATACTACAATTATCATCAAGTAATGAGCTTCCCAACATATTACTTCAAAAAGACAATGATTCTTGTAGAAACTTTACTAAACCGTGACATTCAGGCAACAGTAAACATAAATACATTTATACCTTCAATGTGACTAAAAGTTGTATTAATTGCAGCAAGCCATTTGTCTCTTTCACCATTTATCCGTTCTATAAGCATTCTGCGGTTTTGATCCTCAGTCAATTTTGCTTCATGGGCCCGGCCTTCAGCCTCAGCCATGGCTTTGACTCTTATTGTTTCCCTTTCTATTTCAGCCCTTTCTTTCTCAGTCTGGCGCTGCTGAGCCTGAATTTGCTCCTCAGTAGCTCGTCTTGCTTGTTCTTTTCGTATAGAAGATTCCTCTTGCATTTTAACCAATTCAACATTATGCCGCCTCTGAGCCTCATTATCGGTCTGCAA